GCCATGCGGTGAAGCATTGCATGTTTTTTTCGCGAGACACAAGTGTACTTGTGCACTCTTTTCAATAAATTTTCGTTGCCTTGAGATAAGAGTGTCGAGGTATTCCAATATATATAGATACCAGTGATGTTAATATACCTTCTATAAATGGGATGTCTAATTAGCTCCGCCAATAAATTTAGCGTCACCTATTTCCATGAGCCACCTCACTCAGCATAAGTTACCGTTCTAATATATACATTCAAGCATATTTCTTCGCATTTTTGTGCATATCGTATTAAAGAAAAGACAATATCATTTGCAGTTCTAAATTGTTTCACGCTGCTCTATAGTTAGCCTGAAGATATGCTCCAGGGGCCTTCTTGCCGTTAGGAGAAGCTCTGCAGCCAGCGCCAGCACACCATGATCCAGCGAAGTATATACTACGCACGTTACCAGAGTAGCTATAAGATTGTGCACAAGGCTCAGAAGCTACGCACTTGTGGTGGAAGAGACAACTTGAGGCCGAAAACAAAACAAACCCAAGAAAGGATGTGGATGTCTCAGGCTGACACAAAACATTGTCTCCATGAAAGTTGAAGCTGAGGTACTGTCATCCTCGAACTCTAAACGCGTCCTCACTCAATTCAGCTGGAGTTTCAAGACATTTTCGAGCAGTGCATGTTTTTGCAGCGCTGGTGCGCACACATGCGTGCGTGACGACGATGTCATAGGAGCGACTAGTGACACTAGATGCGACCTTGCATCTGATATAACATCGAAAGCAAAACGAAAGCTGCTGGAAACTGTCAGAGAAGGCCACCTCGACACTTTATATGTGCGGGGGACCTTCGTAAATACTTTTTGTAGAACAAATTTTCCCCGACTTCTAGGAACAGCTCTCTATTGAATATCTTGGCAAAACTGTCTGGCAATTATTACTGCTCAACATAGTCAAACTGCGAAGCTGACACTTCAATTCTATATTTGGCTTGCAAAGATACTTTTCATTACAGAACTTCGATGTTGCTGCAGCACAATCACGCGGGGTACGCACTTTTGTCAAGTTTGCCAGCCTAGTGCCCTTTTTCAACGATACACGTACATTAGGTTGCGATAAGGTCTGTCAAAAATCACTATGTTGCCAAAATGGGCAAATTCGAATTGATTCTGAAAGTTGAGTGGCTGGACTAACTATTAGAAAGTTCTGGGTGCACGATAAGTAAATTTAACATGCCAAAATAGATTATCCAAAAACGTCGATCTCCGGTGATCTATTTGAATAGGGGTGGTGACGAAAGAGTTAACTGCGGAACTAATATTGCCATCTACTAATATTAAAGGGCCACTCACCACCCCGCGTTTAAAGACGAGAGGGTGATTTTCTTCTTTCCTTCACACACAGGATGCATCCTCATCGTCCTTTATTTCTTGAATGCACGTGAACAATATCGGCGCTAAGTGCTAGAGCCTATCAGGATTACAACTGTGCGCGCTGTTATCACCACTTGTACAGTTGTAAACACAAAAAATGAAGTTTTATCGGTTGACTGTGTACGATGTTCATGCGAGACAAAGAAGGGTGGCTGCATGGCAAAGCAGTACAGGAGACCAATTGCATGTGATATTTCGCGTATATCAATGAATCGAGAGCATGTACGCTGTATACGTCATGGGAACTTCTGTCAGCGTCACAGTACTGCGCCAAGAAAGACGAGAAATATCAGGAAAGAATATTTCGCTCTCTTTTTTGTATTTAGGTAGCCTGGTGAGTGTCCCTTTAAGGATGAGATAACTTTACATGCATGAGTCAAGCATTCATATAACATTTTTCACGAGCAATTTCAGTGATTCAGTATTATTATGACCTCATTCATCGCAGCTTCCCTACAAACTGCTGGCCGTCTTAACAGGGCGGGTCATGATTTTTTCGGACTACTTTGCTATGGTTTGTGTAACATCATCATGTAACGCGATAGAAAACAACTAGACAATATTATGAGATATAATTACCTCTTACTTGTTTCTTGCAAAGCGTAATTTTTAACCGGTTTCACGCAGGTTCTTCAATGGTGACGCACCATTTGTTGTGTTAAACGATCTGGATTTTATAGAATACGTGTACGTGCGGAATTTTCAAAACTTTGTGGACCGTGGTGTAAGTATGACCCTAGACATTCATTGTTTCGCTCTTCCGTGAAATGCTCTCCTATAGCACTGCAGTTTTGAAAATACATCACTTTATTAAAATTTAGCTCATAAAAAAGCAGTCACTTCTTGCACCTCAGCGATTGCCGTCAATTTAGACGTCATGGTTTATTTGCAGCATAAATACAGTCCTTGTGTCATATTTGCGCAGAAAACAAATGAAAAAAAAACTATAACTAATACCTAGAGAATTAAACGGCCGCCGTGGTGTGATTTTTTGTCCACGTAAACCATTCTGATTTTTCTGGACTTATGTCACTGTTTGTCCTTCGACAGTCCCACTTATGACTGTGGAATCGTGCTCGGTGAACGCTGCCATATGTGTGCACGTTTCACTTGTTCTCTCTTCCCTCCTTGCTTTCCCTGTTCTTTACTCCTCTTTCCCCTTCCACCAGTGTAGGGTAGCAAACCGGGCGCAACCTGGTTAACCTCCCTACTTTTTCTTTGCCTCTCTCTCTGTAGCTGCTTGGGGTAATTGTAAGCAAGTACCATAGATTCAATTCACTTCATTAATCTACTTAGGTAGATGACGTGTGCATTCATACAAATATTTGTACTCTTCTTTCCTGTAGTCTGTCTGAGTTTATCTCGCAGACGTACATAGCTTTTCGAACATAACGTATAGTATCTCGTGACTGGAAGGCTTTTGATACATTGCGAAACATTTCTGCCTAGTGGCGAAGCCACTCCTCTGTGCTAGTTTGAAGCAAGTTAAAAAAAAATCGAGCCTCGTTTTCCTAAGGTATTTTTTTCAAATTCAAAATAAAGAATTGCCACTTGGTGCCACGTCGAGACTGTAGGGAAAGTGGTCCTGCTGTTCGAAACCATGCTCTCGAATTGCAGCCAAGTCAGCACAGGATTCGTGAACCTAGAACGTTGTCATGCAAAAAGAAGACACCTTCTTTCACTAATTCTAGGTGTTACGCACAGAACCCCAGGTGGTCAAAATTTCCGGAGCCCTCCACTACGGCGTTTTTCATAATCTTATGGTGCTTTCGGGACGCTAAACTTCACGTATCAATCATAGGTGTTACGCAGTGGCTTTACGCAGTTTTAGAAGAACATTCACGTAGTATTCACCTGTAACTAAGCTGCTGTTTTCTAGACACCCAATGTGAGCAGGATACCGTTTGCGTCCAAAAAAGTATGACTGTCTCTTTGCTCCTTGAGCTTTGGGCCCTGAATTTTTTTGTGAGAGGGGACACCGATTGCTCTCACCGCCAAGGCTGAATGATCCAAATCAGTTGAAGTGATCAGCCGCTTTAACTCTGGGCCGTCTTCCACGTGCACTTGGCCACACTTAAGCTCATTGAATCACCAATTCACTGTAACATAAAAAGAAAATTCACAATCATACGCATTATCCATCCTGCTGTGGAGTTCTTTGATGAAACTGCATCCTTTGCAGAAAAATTTGATAATGCTCCAGGACAGCTCGACATCACGGTAGTTTACGTACGTTAAACCTTACATATTATTTAAATTGAATTGCGGGAGAATGCCATGCTTGGCTGACTGTTGCAGGCATAGTGACGAACTGAAAGTTTGAGATTTTGATATTGAAACTTTATACAGGCTGCCTGAATGACCTAAACAAAACAAAAGGTAGAGCTTGTTGATCGCTCATTGATATGTGAGGTTTAACGCCCCCAAAACCAGCATATGATTATGAGAGACGCCGTAGTGGAGTACTCCGGAAATTTCGACCACCTGGGATTATTTAAAGTGCACCCAAATCAGAGATCATGGGCTTAGAGTATTTCACGTATCCTTCGGAAAATGCAGCCACCACAGCCTGGATTCGATCCCGCGACCTGCGGTTCAGCAGCCGGGTACTTTCGCCACGCCACTAGACCACCGCTGCGGAGCTTGTTAATACTTATATATATAATATATATATATATATATATATATATATATATATATATATATATATATATATATATATATATATATATATATATATATATATATATATATATATATATATATCAATAACAAATTAACGAGGGTCTTATTCTGGCAGACCTGGTGCCTTTCAATGGCATAAGATACATCATAGATCAGTTGCCTGCGCGCAATAAGTTCACGTGCTACATGACGCCAAACAGGCTGGCACAGAGTGTTTCACATTCGCTGCCATGACTGCTAGTGGGGCTGACTGACACTCCCGCGTTTAATTCACATATATACCCAATAAAGTAAATACGGGATATAGCCGCTGTGGTAGCCCAGTTGGTAGAGCATCGAACGCCTTATTTGTAGGTCGCAGGTTCGGTTCTTGCCCATGGCAAGTTAGCTGCTTTTCGTCCACTTTTCTTTCTTCACATCTACATTACAATTGGGTCTAACTTCCCCGATGCTTTCCTTGCATTATTGTCTGTTAGATCTTATTAACGTTGTGTCTAACATATATATATATATATATATATATATATATATATATATATATATATATATATATATATATATATATATATGTGTGTGTGTGTGTGTGTGTGTGTGTGTGTTGCATAAAGCATGTCACACTCTCATCTGCTACTCAAAATCAACAAGACCTTACAATGACAAAGCTTCTATACTATATATAGTGAGTGCGTGAACCAGAACGGCGTTTGTGAATTATTTGTCTCTACGAAGACGTCTTAAATATTTATGACAAGTTTGACAAATACCAGCTAAACATTGTACCTCGTTATTCATGATTCGATTTTCAAAACATGTCTCACTGTTGAACTCTCAATCAGTGTGTAAGGCGCTACACCAAATACTTATCAATTCTTTATTAAAAAGCCTTTTATTTTTACCAACAGTTTAATATGATGACAGACCAGATGCATCCTGTGCTCGGAAAATCCCTCTTGCTTATCGGAGGCCCCGAGTGGAAGGACATCCGCAGCACAGTCGCCTACAGCATGAGTGCTGCCAAGCTGAAGATGGTGAGAGGCCCACTTTAAATCTCCATGAAGACACAGCAGCCTATAGAACTTTTCCCCGCTTATGACAGACATTACGTGTAGATAAATCAAAGCTTCGCTGCAAGGGCGAAGCAACGCATGCGGTGCCATAAAGTTGAAATGTTATCGAAGTAAGACTGGCAGAGAACTTCTTTAGCATCCGATGTACCACAACTAGCCGACGTATAGAAACGCGGCTCCTGCATCGAATAATAGAAAACGCCTTCGTGCTACCTAGCACTTCGATCGAGAATGGACGGTAAGAGCACAGCGCCCGCGAAAGTACGAACCCGTCCGCTCATCCCTGACAAGATATAGCTCACGCGCAACGCGCTGACCAAAGTACGCAGTATCAACCGTACCAAGGGCTATTGATGATAACTGGATTAAGCAAAGGGACCAGAAAGGTAGGTTTTGAAATTAATCTGCAGGAAACAAAAGTGACGTACAACAACCTCGCGGAAGAGCACTTCGAGACAGACTGCAGCAGTGCACTAGAAGTTATGATAGGTGCAACCCTAAGAGACAAGCCTGAGGGCTGAGTGCATCAAGGAACAGACGGGTTTCAAAGACAATATATATTGCTACGAAGCACTGTCGGAGATGAAGAAGAAGACAGCCAAGAGGAAAACAACGCTTGCTGATATCCGCGTGGACTTGGCTCTGTCTTGTATGTCTGGAATTTTACGTCTTTTAGACCTACGGTGTAAATATACTGTACGACGCCTTTTCTCCCTTTCTTCCTCCTCACTTCAAACTCTCCGTCGCTCGGATAGGTGACAAGCTCCCATGTGTAGCAAAAAGTGGATTGCGTGGTGCATTCCTCGGCGACTTCCTCGAGCCTATACTTACCCCAAAACCTCCCCAAGCCCCGTAACAATATAGTCGAAATGAAGAAGAAATGGTCATGGGCAGGGCACGTAGTGTCAGGGAAAGATAACCGCTGGTCATTAAGGATCCCAGAATGGATTACAACTGAAGGCAACCGGGTGAAGTTGAGACAGAAAATTGGGAGGGTAGAGGAGATAAGGAAGTTTGCGAGTGCAAAGTGGCCGCCGCACGCGCGAAACCGGATGACCTGGTGGTACATATGCAAGGGGCCTTTGTCCTGCAATTGGCGTATATAGTCAGGCTGATGAGGATGATGAAATATGGAAACACCATACCGTCAGTGACTGAATGCGTATGCGGTAACACGATTAGTTAATTAAACAAAATGCTAATAGAATGTTGCAAGCGGGATAAGCTGCGTGCCGACCATGAAGGCGCAGTATTTTCATACTTTCTGAAACTCAAGCAAGTTTGCTAAGCAATCAACAACTCCAATTTACAGCCAATATTGATTTTCATATTCTAACCACAGATAACCAAATGCCTGCATCGTATTTATCTACCTCCTAGATTATGCCACACCTGGAAGAAAACGCTGACGTCTTCATTAGGACACTGGAAAAGTACGCCGACACGGACAGGGAGGTACACATGCTGCCGGAGTTTGAGCAGCTCTCAATGGACTACACTGCACGAGGGGTGTTCGGCATCGACGAGCATTTTCAGGGCAATCTCGATCATCCACTCTTCAATACCGCCAGAGGAGTCTTCAGGGGCATCATGAAGGGTCCCTTGCACATGATCGCACGTATGATTCTGCTTGAACAACTATCTTTGCGCCGTGTGCTGAACACCTTCGTTGGTCGTCCACTTTCAAGGAGTGGGAATGAAATGGCTTGTTAATTACTTGTTAAAGTCTGCTGGGACACTCTAAATCAGTTCGCACCCTTAAGGGTGCCTTGCGTGTCTATAACCAACGCCCTTCAATAAGGTTGCTTTTAGAAACCAAAACACCAATTTCAAAGGTGTTTGGGTATGTCAAAACACCCTTATCGTAATAGACATGGAAGGCTCCTTATGGGTGCAAGATGGTTTCAGTGAACTTCGGTTGCTCTTGTTCAGTAATTTTACAGACCACGAACATTGTCAAGGTTTTGTAATATCCTAATGTCTCTCTCTCTGTTTTTATAAGTCTATATACCATTCATTCTACAACACGGCCGTGTTCCAACCATACGAAGTTGCATGCTAGGCATTTAATTGAAGCATTTCTCTTTCTCTCTAACCATCTCCGCTGCATTCCTTTCTCTAAATGTTACACCTATAATTTTTTTTCCTTGAATCACACTCATAGCAGCTCAATGCCACAGACCGTGAGCTAGTCGTGGTAACTCCAAAAGTTAAGGGAACCTACTTTGTCAGTGAGATCAGAACATCGCGATAAGCATTTCTCTGAAGGCCGTAAATGTAGGAAAAACCAGTCCATATAGGTTTCAAGCGGTATCTTCAAAATCATTATTGCTTTAACATTGGCTGCATTTAGTCTTTCATATCGAAAAACGCTACATATTTTGATGAAAGTATTTAAACAGCTTACAGACAAGCATGGGCGATCGTAATGTGCAGTTAAGCAAAAAGTTCCCTTCTAAGAATAACAATTTTCATGAACTCAAATCTAAATTACGACAAAGGCAATAATGGCAAACTTCGCATAGCTGCAAAAAAGTTGATATAATTCACGCCGTTGCTATTAGAATAATGCGGCAACAATGAAAAGGAATATGCGCGTGGAATAACAATGTATTCCGCCATAAATAAATTGGAGAAGATGCGGGAAAATTGTTAATGTGAGTGTCCAAGGCTTCGGTTGGAAGTTCCCAAAAGCAGGCTGTTTTTTGAACTGCATCGATGAGTGGAACGTCTGTAATCGCTATGATTTTTTTAGAGAGCACAACTATGTTCAAGAAATGGATGAAACCGTTTTACTGGCTAACCACGGTGATCGGAGAGTTCAGCTTCGAGAAACTTGGCAAAGAGACGACACAAATTATTGAAATGAGAAAGAAAGACCCCTCGGTATGTATTCTGCTGAATGTTTTGCTGAACATTTCGAGCCAGATCTGTGAGCATGTGAGAAAAATAGGTAGCACCATGTTAAATGTTTCCAGAGGTTGTCTCGTGGCGCCTGACTTTTGCATATGCACGAGGTGACAGCCAGTGATTAAACTCTCATTCTAATCTAAGACACTAAGTGTGCCAAGGCGAGGGTAATCGATATGATTGCATAAAAGAAGGGCGATTTTTTGAGGGGCTTGTTTCTTCGTTAAGCACAACCAAACAATTGAAAACGACAATTATGCTAACTATTGTATCCGGGCAATTATTGTTGTCGTTCACGGTAGTGTAGTATGATGGCGTCAGTTGAATGAATTCAATGGGCAGAAAGTAACCCTTTCCATCTTTGGAACCCTAACCCTCGACGTTCGCACGAAGTGTCCGATTTGATTCCCGCGGACAGCATTGGCACTTTTCCGTCTTTTTATATAATGTATATTTACGCCATCATCACTACACTATACTGCTAAAGATAAATATTTTTCTATATACTTTACCTCATTACGTATGAAGTAACTACGCAGAGAAATATGACAACTAATCATTAACTACAGGGGAAGTAAAAAAAGCATTAGAAAGAATGCAAAAAGGCAAAGCCACAGAAGAGGATGAGGTAACACCAGGCCTGTTGAAAGATGGTGGAGAGATTGCGTAGGAAAAACTGTTCACCTTGCATACGAAGTGTCTCTTGACAGGGAGGGTACCGGAACTTGAAAGAATGTCAGCATCATCTTAATTTATAAGAAAGAAACGTCAAGGACTTGAAAAAGTACAGGCTGATCAGCTTACTGTCCGTTCTATACAAACTATTTACAAAAATAATATGTAATTGAATTAAGGCGACATCACAGTTCATTCAAACACAAGACTAAGCATAATTTCGTTCAGGCTACTCTACAATAGACCATATTCATACTATCAATCATGTAATAGAGAAATGCATGGAATACAATCAACCTCTATATATAGCTTTCATATATTACGAGAAGGCGTTTGACTTAGTCGAGACAACAGCAGTAATGCAGGAGCAACGGAATCAGGACATCGACGAAGCATAATTAAATATACTGAGAAATATCTACAGATGATTAACTGCCATCATAGTTCTCCATAAAGAAAGTGACCGAAATTCCAATAAAGAAGGGTGTAAGGCAGGCAGACACAATCTCTCCAATACTATTCACCACGTGTTTACATGAGGTTTTCTGGGCCCCGTGACTGGGAGGAGTTAAAGATAAGAGTTAAGGGAGAGTATCTTAGCAACCTGCGATAAACTGACTTGATGAGTAACTCATGGGATCAATTACAGCTTATGATTACAGAACTGGACAAGAAAAGAAAAAGTGTAGTTCTGAAAACTGATATGCATAACACAAAAGTAGTAGTGTGCAGGAGTCTATAGGCACAAAAGAGCGCTTTGCGATAAGTGGAGAGGCGCTGGAAGTTGTAGGGAAGTATGTCGACTTTAGACAATTTGTAACCCCAGAGCCGATTGATGAGAGCGAAATAACTAGAAGAATAAGAATGGGGTGGAGTGTATTGAGCTTGCACTCTCATATTGTTACTGGTAATCTACCACTAACCCTGAAGAGGAAGGTATACAAGAGCTGCATCTTAACAGCATACCTATACGGAGCAGAAACCTGTAGGTCTGTAGGTATACAAAGAGGGTTCAACTCTAAATTGAAGATGACGCAGAGAGAGTTGAAAAGAAAAATGATAGACGTAACCTTAAAAGACAGAAAGAGAGCAGACTGGGTTAGAGAACAGACGGGGGCTAAGGACATCATGGTTAAAATCAAGAGGAAATGGACATGGGCCGGGTACGTAGCTCGTAGGCCGGATAACCACTGGTCATTAAGGGTAACAAACCGAATTCCAAAAGAAGGCAGACGCGTGACAGGGAGACGGAAGCTTGGGTGCGCAGATGAGATTAGGAAGTTTACGCGTATAATGTTGTTGCGGAAAACACAGGCTTATGATGATATTCTACTTGACCTAATTGTTCATTTAATTATATTATTTATGGTTTTTCAATTACCTTTCGGGCTACGTAGTATCTACATGCTTTGGGGAAAGTGGGTGTATAGTGGCGCACGTACGATTTATTTGCAGCTGAGAAAGCCCGACATCCTTCAGAATCTGATCGACGCGGAGTTGGCCAACGACATTGCCAGCAGCAACGGTGCACGACGTCTGAACGGTAATTGATGCTCACGAGCTTCTTCTGCCATTTTATAGCTCACTTGGACTTCTAACATGCTTCAGTTATGACAAATGAAACATTCGTGAGAGCAAAACAGCGTGATAAACGAGGACACAGACAGAAACAAACAGGACCAAGCGACTGGCCCTGTTTACTTTTTTCCCCCCTGTGTCCTCGCTTTTCGCGCTATTTCGCAGTATGAAGCCATACCAACAAGCTCCATCCCTTTGTCTTTGAAAGTTAATAAATCTTGTTGCCCAAACTTTTTTATATCCCTTCTGGTTGAAATATGTTGTAACACGATATCACTTAGTTGAAGGCAGTGTCATGCGAAACGAGAAGTTTGACATGGGGCATTTCGGCAGGAATTTCATTTTTTTTTGCGTTCATGCAAATTCTCGGTGCCCGCGGATAATAATCGTATGTCATTTGACTGGTTGGTTGAATTAGGTTAGTGAACAAACACAGGATGACTGACGTTACATTTATTCGACAATTACATATCATGCGATTACAAATATTCGCAGTAACCTATTCCGTTAGAGTCCCCTTAGAAGTGACCTCTAGATTATTGGCACTAAACTACATCAACTTCCCGCATTTATAAACGGCCAATCACAATTCGTGCCGCAAAAGGTAAACTGCATACTTCATTAACATAGTGAAATAATAAAGCTAGTTTGTCATTTTCACGTCAACCATAAAAAGTATAGTACGCATTCTCAGTGCTTGACTAAAATTGTTTTATACGTTGTACAACTTGCTTGTAGGACTCAGCGACTCCAGAAAATCTTTATTCAATTTCGGGTACCTTATTGGACGCTTCACCAACGTTCTCATCGATATCTCTATCATAGAGAGCGGTGAGATGAGAAATAAATAAAATCCAGCAAAAATTATAGCTTTCCTTCCTGACTGTGATATATTCATTAGATTCGAAACGTGTTATGATCGAGACCAATCCGGTGTGTGGCGTGACCACCCTTACTTCACATGCGCTCACATCCTCTGCTCTCCTCCCCTAGTCGGCCCCCCTTTCTCGTCTCTATAGCCATCCCTCCCAGCGGCGTTTACACCCCCATTGCGCAAGCGCGTCCCCTTCCCTCTCTCTCTCTCTCTCGCCTCTCCTACGCTTCACTCTCGACGAAGCCAGTGTGTGAGACCCTTGATACGTTACGAAAAGTATGTTATTTCTAAGTAAACAAAGCCAGCATATAATGGAAAAGGTATGGACCTTACTGGACGTTGTTAAAAAAATGAACCACACGCAGATGTATTGGAGAAATTGATTCAATGAGAAATTCATGGTGCAGGTGAACAGCATGTTCACTCTCATCGGCGAATTTGCTAACGATGAGTTCGAAAGGTAGTAAAGAATGTGTGTCTTCCTTTCTAACTAAATTTAATTTTTTTTTGTTTTCACACGCAGGACTTTACAAACAAAGGCAGGTGTCATCAGCCGCAATAGCCTCGAGCGCGATTTCAATCTTCCTCGGCGGGTAAGAATGAAAGAAAAACGGCTGCATGTGGAATTCTTTGTGACGCGTGAGGGCGGATGCCTATTGCGCGATTGGTAATGCGTAAAGTCATAGCCGTTCCATAGCCATTCCTTAAGGTAGCCACTTCCCTAGTCTCCCAAGAGGAGGTGTACTAAGTTAACCCCATGCATTGACACAATAGAAAGGAGGAGCGGAATGTGCAACTCGGGGGGTGTTGCGACGAACCTTCGACCCACCTCCTCTCTGAAGGGGAACCCTTCACACACCTGTGCATAAAGTTGAACCATCACGGACCGGACTTTTTGCAAGGCTCAATGAGTAGACGAGAGACACGCTTTAAATTTCTTTGACACGACAGACATTTACAACCTAAGAGTAAATGCATACGCTCCGTTCACTGCCATCACTGACACCCTTAGAGAGAGTTTACATGCGCGAATGCATTCGGCAATGTTCGCCGAAGGTGGGGCTACCGGCAGCCCCACTCATGACGTCAGTCCAAAGTACGCGCCCTTCGGTGTGAGCTCAGGGGAATCAGCGAGTGAGAAGGAAATACCTCAGAAATTTAAAGTTGTATCCGACGGTAGGTTGTAACCTCTTATGGTAAATTGCACAAGCTGCCCCCGCCACCCCCCTTCAATATGCCCACACATTTCTGCACTATCAGCCTTGATTACACCGAGCTATGATGTCATGTAATGAGTGACATAGTCAAACGACGCCCAAATGACATCAGAAATATGGACAACTTGTGACGTCATTGTGACTTTGCACCGCTGGTCAATACCAGTGCGCCAACTAAACGCCATTCCCTCTGTTCCTGCCACTCATTTGAAGAAGGTCACGTGAGTTTGTTGTACCCCTTCATTCGACTGTGATGTTTAGCTCACTACTACTCAACGAGACACTAAAGTAGCGTCCATCCACATTTCTTGGAAGACGAGAGTTTCGAAGACTTGTTTAGTTGTTTGACACAGCCGGTATCATGCTCTTTTAAGCGTATCGTAATAATCGTGATACAGATGGGAGAAACGTAACGTGGGCAAAAAGACAACTTGCCTGTAGTATATAAGAAGCGAACCTGCAACCTTCCGATTACGCGTATGCATTGCCGCGTATATATTTCTGCATTACACGTAGGCGCCGTTCGAGCACATTTCAAGGATTATACTCTTAATCGCCATACCAGAGGCGGAAGAACGTATACACCTGATAAACATTATCATTCAGCACGTGAGTAAACAACAGGAGAAAGCAGAGCGCATATGATTAGTGTGGCATAGATAAAGCCGCACACGTATTTCCGTGTCCGTGTATATGAAGTGGAAACAATCTCTTGAGCTTATCCATGGCAGCGCTGTGCTTGAGCAAACAGGCTGGTAAGTGGCTGGCCAATGTAATAACTAATAATAGTATCAGGGGGTCGAAGTCTAAAAACCGCGATATAATAAAAAGAGACGCCGTAGTGGAGGGCTCCGCAAATTTAGACCACCTGGTGTTTTCTAACGTGCACCCAAATCTAAGTACAAGGACCTCAAACAATTTCGCCTTCATCGAAAATTCAGCCACCGCAGCCGGGATTCGATTTCACGACCTTCGGGATAGCAGTCGATTGCCATATAACAACTACAACCTCACGATGGTGCAGATTGACAGGTGTACTCGTAGCACTGGGGAGTTTTATCGAGGAATAAGTGCAACATTCCAAGTGTCAATGAGAATAATAGAAAATTAGTCATAACAGGAACGCACTACAAGAGACAGCCAAGAAATTCACAGATGTCTTTTGTTTGAACAATGTTTATTGTACACCCCCCCCTCCCAAAAAAAAAATGTCATCCAATAAAACTTTCAGAGTTTGGTCTTTATAGTTAAAGCATTACATTCTTAAATGTCAAATAATTATTGCTTGTACCTTAATGCGCAGCACCAGGTGCGCTGAGCTGTTCGCTTGCCAACAAGAGACGTACCGTGCACTGACACGCGTATTACTTCGTTCAATGACCTCGCACAATCGTGTAGAGAGCGGTATCTTAATATGCAAGAAACCGATACTGTGTTACACGTTATGCGTCCGAGATCTCGCATGTCTTATGGTCGAAGCATTTTTTGAATTCAGTACTTCGCAGGCAGTTTAGATATTAGTACCGCGACCGACGGTTGCGGTTTTGATCTCGGCAGCAGCGGTCGCATCCCGATGAAGGTGAATTAAGTGACGTACCGTGCACTGACACGCGTATTACTTCGTTCAATGACCTCGCACAATCGTGTAGAGAGCGGTATCTTAATATGCAAGAAACCGATACTGTGTTACACGTTATGCGTCCGAGATCTCGCATGTCTTATGGTCGAAGCATTTTTTGAATTCAGTACTTCGCAGGCAGTTTAGATATTAGTACCGCGACCGACGGTTGCGGTTTTGATCTCGGCAGCAGCGGTCGCATCCCGATGAAGGTGAATTAAGTGACGTACCGTGCACTGACACGCGTATTACTTCGTTCAATGACCTCGCACAGTCGTATAGAGAGCGATATTTTAATATGCAAGAAACCGATACTGTGTTACATGTTATGCGTCCGAGATCTATATGTCTTATGGTCGAAGCATTTTTTGAATTCAGTACTTCGCAGGCAGTTTAGATATTAGTACCGCGACCGACGGTTGCGGTTTTGATCTCGGCAGCAGCGGTCGCATCCCGATAATGCCGCAGACATTTTAAGTTGTATCCGACGGCAGGTTGTAACCGCCTATGGTCAATTGCCCTAGCCTCCCCCCTCACCCCTCTTCAACATGTTCATGCTTTTCGGCACTATCGACCTTGATTACACCGAACAATGATGTCATGTAATGAAATAGTCAATTGACGCCCAAATGACATCAAAAATATGGACAATTTGTGACGTCATTGTGACTTCGCATGATGACTTCACTGAACGTCATTCCCTCTGTTCCTGCCACTCATTCGAAGAAGGTCACGCGAGTTTTCGTACCCCTTCCTTCGACTGTGATGTGAAGCTCCCTACTTACTCAACGAGACACTAAAGTAACGCCCATCCGCATCTCTTCAAGAACGGGAGTTTCGAGAGCTTGTTTAGTTGTTTGACACAGCCGTAATCATGCTGTTTTAAGCTTATTGTAATAATCATGCTACAGACGGGAGAAACGTAACGTGGGCAAAAAGACAACTTGCCTGTAGTACATGGGAAACGAACCTGCAACCTGCCGATTACGCGTATGCATTGCCGCGTATATATTTCTATATTACACGTATAGGTGCCGTTCGAGCACATTTCAAGGATTATACTCTTAATCGCCGTACTGGAGGCGGAAGAACGTATACACCTGATAAATGTTATCATTAAGCGCGTGAGTAAACAACATGAGAAAGTAGAGCGCATATGGTTAGTGTGGCATAGATAACGCCGCACACGCATTTCCGTGTCAGTGTACATGAAGTGGAAACATTCTCTTGAGCTCATGCATGGCAGCGCTGTGCTTGAGCAAACAGGCTGGTAAGTGGCTGGCCAATCTAATAACTATAGTAAGAATATCAGGGGGTCGAAGACTAAACACCGCGATATGATAAAAAGAGACGCCGTAGTGGAGGGCTCCGGAAATTTCGACCACCTGGGGCTCTTTAACGTGCACTTAAATCCAAGTACAAGGGCCTCAAACATTTTCGCCTTCAACAAAAATTCAGCCACCGCAGCTGGGATTCGATTTCACGACCTTCAGGATAGCAGTCGATTGCCATATAACAACTACAACCTCACGACGGTGCAGATTGGCAGGTCTACTCGTAGCACTGGCGAGTTTTATCGAAAAATAAGTGCAACATTGCACGTGTCAATAAGAATAATGGAAAATTAGTCATAACAGGAACGCAGTACAAGTGACAGCCAAGAAATTCACAGATGTCTTTTGTTTGAACAATGTTAATTGTACCCCCCCCCCAAAAAAAAAAATGTCATCGAATAAAACTTTCACAGTTTAGACTTTATAGTTAAAGGATTAGATTCGTAAATGTCAAATAATTATTGCTTGTACCTTAATGGGCAGTACCAGATGCGTTGAGCGTTCGCTTGCCAACAAGAGACGTATACCGTGCACTGACACGCGTATTACTTCGTTCAATGACCTCGCACAATCGTGTAGAGAGCGGTATCTTAATATGCAAGAAACCGATACTGCGTTACACGTTATGCGTCCGAGATCTCGCATGTCTTATGGTCTAAGCATTTTTTTGAATTAAGTACTTCGCAGGCAGTTTAGATATTAGTACCGCGACCGACGGTTGCGATTTTGATCTCGGCAGCAGCAGTTGCATTCCGACAAAGGTGAATTGTTAGAGGCCCTCGTGGTGCCTGATGTCAGTGTGCGTTGAACAACAGCGGATGGTCGAAATTTACGGAGTACCGCTCTTCGCCGCGCATTGTAATCGTATCACGAAACGTTTAGTGCTAATGTTCAGCCTCATTCGAACTGTTCTCTCGTTTAACCACCGATACAGCGGTATTAGCTTCCACAATACCGGTGGCCAGTTCAAAGCGACGAAGCTCGCAGATGTTATGTGCTGAGCTTTTTCGTCTGCATGACCTTCCTATATGATTATCATCATGCGACTCTTTTCGCGCGCATGATTTTACCGGGAAACAGCCATTCCAAAGTTTGCGTGCCAAAATGTTCATGCAGGTTTGAGAGCACGTCTACGTCGCTGAGCTACATCGTTTTCAACCTCGCCAAGTACCCGGACGTTCAAGAAAAGGCTCGCGATGAAGTCTTGGAAGCCTTGTCTACATCGGTATTCTTTGTTTTATATTTAATTTATTTGTACAGTGCAATAACTTTGTTTTGTAATATTATTTAACGGGTACAAAACGTCGATAGTTTATTATTACTTCCAATTTGACATTTTATTATGATCATTCATCAGCGCACAAAAAGAAATGTCTAGTTCTGATAACATTGTCAGAAGTTCTTGTACGCTGTGAGAAAAAAAAAAAAAAACGGGCCGGATAAAGGATTGTTGGATCGGGTGCAGGCTTATGAGCTTCGGGCTCGGGCCTAAGTCAGGCCCATATCGGGCCCGGGTCTCATGCATAATAGCGTATGTACGCTATTTGGCTTCGTTGATTGCATTTCTTAGTACACTTACTTTTTTCGACTAAAAAGCTGCCACCAATTTAACGAAGTGCATTGAAGCAACTAGAATAGGCCTAATCCACTTGAAGTGACCTTCCACACGGGAGGAGGAGTAGGAGGAGGAGGAGGAAGGGAAGAAATGAAAGGCAGGAAGGTCAACCAGACGCACGTCCGGTTTGCTACTCTGCACTGGGGGAAGGGGTGAGGGGATTAAAGGAGAAGAGAGAGAGAGAAGTGAAGGGCAACGTGTGTGTAGATGTGACCTTGTCCATTCCACACGGGCAATGATGAAAGTTGGCTTATTCTCTGTGCCTTCCACCTTTCTTCCCCACCGTATAGTCCCCGCTTTCCCTTTTAAATGCGGAGCATTTCGTAGTCGCACGATGTCGCGCGTAGTGCATCGCCGGCGATCTCGAAACCCCCACAGCGCATGCTCGCGCCTCGCGTATTGAGCCGCATGTTTGCGTCTCGTGCACGGTGTAAAATACAAGCGACTGTTCGTATCTTACACCGTGGTCTCGAGCCAACTGTTTGTTCCCCTCTCACGCCTCGCAAGGCCGACGCAGGCACGTCTAGTAAAAACTGACTGCTCAAGCTGCACAACCATTCACAGGCCACTCCGTATATAAAGGCCTTGGATCGCACATCAGCGTCCCGCCACTCGTTGAAGTCCACGCTTCTCCTTCATTCAATAAATAAGAATAATAAAGAAGAAATAACAATTAAGCATTCCCAAACCATACGCAATTACGCAACATTGACGCAATACCCCCACTATTCTGCGACGCATTCACTGGAAATTTCCTGTGGGAAAGTGTGGGCAGCATTTTTTCTGTCCCACATATTTATCCTTCATTGTCGTTTCAAGCCTTAAACAACAACCGCGAGCCACAGACAGCCAGACTTCACTCCCGCGTTCGCTCCTAGGCCTTCAGCCGTCGGCGACTAGGCAACCCACTCTCGCTCTTGTGATCCCTGCAGGATATTGCGCTCCGTCTAACCGACACACTCTGTTTCGACGGGTAGAAGGAATCAAACAGAACGGGAGAAGGCACCGAGGTAAACCAGAAAGAATTGTGGTTGGCTACGCTATGCTGGATGATTAGGGAACAGGAATAGAAAGATGAGAAGATTGAGGAGGAAAAAGTAGAAAAAAAAGGCCGGAGAAACGCAGTGAACTCATTGCAGCGTGACCGCAAATCAGAGGCGTTCCCACAAGCCCATCGTGCTTCAAAAGTAAAAAGGGCTTTCCCTGCCTTTTCAGGCTGTCGGGAGATGTAGAAGGTGCATGCTGTATTAGCACCTGCACAGAAAGTGGCTGACCATCGAGTAGCCGCAACGCATCGGCAAGTGCTTGACTATCTGAGGCAAATCGAAGACAGTGGCACAGCAGGTGTTCCATAAAAAATATAAAAAATGTTTTGAAAGCCCTTTGTTCGGTTTTGCCTTAAGACACTGAGACTTTCAAAGATCGAAAGCTCTTACATAAAGACGACGAGATGGGCATCTTCAGGGAACAATGATGACGATGGCTAGCTCGCTAACGGGTGTGGCTCGCTTAGACAGATCTGTGGCACTGCCTGTCACGGTGACTCGGGTGAAAAGGGTGAGTCAGAGAACCTTCCAAAGTTTTGAGCATGGAAACGTAGTGAAAGTTGGGGAGGGTGAAAACGTAGTCAGTTGCCTGCCGAGGAGTCGACTCAACAGCTTTAATTTATGTAATGCTGCCTAGCCTGGTGTAGTCCTCGGAAAAGCAGCTAGGGTGCGCTTTTTTAATGGTATCGTGCCATAAATCAAGTTTGTAAAAAAGTTGTTGCTTTTGCTCAACAGCTGCAGCTCACGTGCAATTTATGTAGAACCCAAAAAAAGAAATTTCTGCCATTTTTGCTCATACTTTATGGCTGTGTTACATTTTGTTGTCGTTCTTTGAAAACCAAAAGTGCGTGGCTACCACCGCATACGTGAGACAGCTAGCTGTGACTCCAATCATAATTTATATATTAGCCCTGGCGTCATTTATCAAAAAATTTACGGGTGTAATTAACCGAAAGGATACAAAATACCAGTGAAAGGCGTGGCACTGAAAGAAGTTATGAAAACACTCTAAAAGATGTCTTTTTTGTGGCAGATATCTTCACAGTAACACAAGACGACACAATGCTTCGTTCATGCTCAATGCACGCACAAATGGCTGAAACGGACCGGGCCCAAACTTTTCGTGCCCGGGCTAGGTACGGGCCAAATTTAAAAACATTGGGCCGGAGCATGGTGTCTTCGGGCGAGGCTGAGCCCGGGCCGGAAAGATCAGTCTGTGCAGTGCTCTCGGTCACATCGCTCTCAGAAGGAGTATAATGACCCTAAATACTATTGACATGCTTTTTTAGACAGAGTCATCTAGGCTACGTAGAAAGCCTCTTTTTACGTGGAACTTTCAAATAAAAGTCAAACGACTATGAATTTTTGTAGTGGGTAGCATTGCTTAGGTTTTTTCACTAAGGAGGGGGGGGATGTTTCACCCACCCATCCTGCATCTGTCGCAACGAGTGAAAACATGCAAATGCAGGTATGGAAATGAACCTATGACGTCTATCATCTTACAAGACCAGTGTTTGGTTCTCTGCTTTCTGGTGGTAATTATGGCAAGTAACGAGCTTTTGGAATGGTACATCAGGGGCCCTAGAACAATACGATGAAAAACCTGCTGCGTCATGAACCTTACACTTTAAACGACGGCAGAATTGGCGCATTTCTTAGACAATATAGATTAAGCAAAAAAAAAGGAACGAGCCAAAAATAAGCAGACAATAACGAGGAAAGTCTTTTTTTTTTGTAGTTGTCGTGTAGTGGTTACTTCTATATAAAAGGTAAGAACAACGCAGGAGGTAGCGCAAAGCTCAACACAAAGGTAATGAAAGCAAAACACTGAAGTTATTATAAGTGTTATTTCCTGTGTCCAAATGTCAACGAGAAGAGACAGGTTAACTTCCACGTGGCGGAACAGAAACGTTAAAAAACGTTGGAGCTCGGGGGCGAGGGACAGGTCAATATTTTATTGCACAGACTGCTGCAGATGGCTAAGCACGTGTGGTCAAGCCAGTATTGACCATTGTACTGTCAGCCATAAGGGTGTGCAAAGCTAGTTCTAACTGCTAACTGTTTTTTTTTCTGTTTGATGTTTGTGTAGGGCACGCTGGACTACGACACCACCATGCGGAAACTGAAGTACCTTGGTCAAGTTGTGGATGAAACGTTGCGGTTGTATCCACCGGGACTGCTGTGAGTAACTATAGTTTGACCTGGAAATGTGCTGGTTATAGTATAGGGGTTATGTGGATGAGTGAGGAATTAGAGGCATACGTGAAGTATTATAACATAAAATATTGGTGGCATTCAGGTTCGTATTCACTGACAGGTGGTACACTATTACTCTTAACCCTAATACACGTTTAGAAGTGTGGCGATTTGGGCTAGTTGGTATGAGATGATGATAGTTATAACGCGAGGACAGAACGATGACAAAGGGACAAGAAAGAGACGAGCGCGTCTCTTTCTTGTCCCTTTGTCGTCGTTCTGTTCTCGCGCTGTACCTATCGTCGCCTAATACACAATTACAACTCCGCCCCCCCTGATGGAATGTGACAGAAAGTAAATAGAGATGATGTCATCATCATCATCACCACCACCACCATCATCATCATCATCATCATCATCATCACACCATCACCACCACCATCATCATCATCATCATCATTATCACACCTGGTATTTTATATGACACTGAGAACGCTGTTTTTTTTTTTTTGCTTTGTTGCCTGTGCCCAGACAACATATGTGCATGAACAATCACGAGAAGGTCACAACAACAAGTGGTGGCTGTCTTACTGGACAGACACCAATTTCAACACTCCTTGAGAGCCGTAAAGAGTTGCACCTTCGATATCCACTTACAACTGGCCTCGACAATCTCGACAACTGGCCTTACAGAGCATGTCGTCTGTTCTCCGACGAGGTTGTCACGAAAAGCTCCCATACGAGACTGTCAAGCTTCATTTCCACGTCAAAGAAACAAACCACGGGGTTAATTTTCAAGGGCTACCTGGTAATTGTGAGATCATTGGCAATCATTCTGCACTCGACGGGGCTCGCACATCCCACCAAAGAGAGCACACCCTTCCAAATTTTCCGTCAAGGACAGGGGCTGCAAAGCAGCTTCGTCACCTGTCACGTAGTTTATGTCTGCTGGAGTGGTACACCCCAAGTTTAAGACGTACGATACCCCACCATATAAACCCTCAACTGAAACTCCGACCTCCATTCGAACTTCGTCGATGCGAAGCTTCGTTTTTTTGTCGTCTTTGGTTGAAAGTTGCCTGAATTTGGTACAACTCTAACAGGACTGGCCGACAGTGCGGGATGCGAGGTCTGCTACACGAAAGAAGACATTGATCATATGCAATGCCACTGCCCTCGAAGTGACTCTGAGAGACGCCAACTTCCGATGCCTTGCGCAATATGATGATGAGCCACTCTCCATGCAGATGCTGCTGGAGCACCGTCCTAGTTTTTCGTCTGCTCGCAAGGCCGTCAAAGCCCTCTTGCGATTTCTGATGACTACGGGTCTATTCAACGCCTTTAAAGGGGCCCTGCAACGCTTTTTGAGCATTGTCGGAAAACGCGGCCGATCGTTAGTAGAGGCTTCCGAGAACACGCGAGCCAAATGTTATAGCGCAGCAGGTGGCCTGCAATTCACAATAAATTATCAAAGTCAACTAAAAATTGCCGTCTGTTCCCTCGAAAAATCACGGAATATGCTCAAGAATCAAACGTAGAAGAGCCGTCTATCAGCCATTTGTCTGATTTTAACATGCCACTCTCAATTGTTACAAATATCGCCGTGAGAAACCGTCACTTGTACACACGCGCGCGCGCGATTGCACTGAAAAAATCCGCGTATTCGATGGAAAAAAAGGTGCCTAAGGTCACGAGGCGAGCCTGACATTTTTTCGTTTGCTCCTCCCATCTCTCTCTGCTTAGCTTCCAGCGCTTTCACGGGGACGAGAGAAGAGAGAATGTAATTGCAGCGTGTGACAAATATGTGCAGCTCCGCTCGTACTGGACGAATTCTTAAAATTTTTGCAGTGTTGAATTTGTGAGGCAATACGCTTTTTCAGTGAATTAATTCCAAGGTTACTCAAAATAGCGCTTCAGGGCCCCTTGAACTTTCGTATAGTGTATACGCGTCAGCTCATTCACTGACAATTTTCTCGTCTTTTTCCCCTCTCTTTCCTCTCTCTCTCTTTTCTTTTTACCCCTTTTCCCATTCCCCACAGCATAGGGTAGCCAACCAGGCATGTGCCAGGTTAACCTTCCTGTCTTCTCTTTTGCTGTTCCTCCTCCTCCTGCATTGCGGCATCCTAACCACTATCCTGTGCGTGTAAAGTGTTACTGCAAAGTTGCCTTCTCCGCCAGTGCGCAGGTCGATAGAACTTTCAGAGTTTGTGCCTATGCTCCTCGACAAACCGAAGCAATGTGATGGTCGAAGCGTATTAAAAGTAATTTGCTAGGAAATATAAGCTGCGATGGACACCCGAGGATACGGTTGGAAAGACAGGCCAGCTCTCCCAATTTACTGCATCTGTAAATGAAGCAAAAACAGCGCGATAAACAAAGGAGCAGACTGTCGTGCCCACAAGCCTAAGAATCAGCTTAGTGGAATAAATCATATTAATTATTTTGCTAGTTAATAAAGTAATGTCACATTAAAACAGAAAATCTTATGATTACAACAATGAAGAGGGTGTCACTAGAATCATCATCATCAGCTTGACTATGCCCTACCGAAGGGTAAAGGCATCTACCCCATCCCTTCAATGAAGTGCACCTGCATTGGACTTTATAAAGCTGTTCTGCTGCTCCTATGTGTTTGCTGAAGCTGCGTTATGGCCGCAAACTTCTTAATATCATCCACCCTGTTAACGTTCTCCCTTCCCTCGTGCTTTCACTTTTCTGGGAGTCCAATCTGTCACTCTCATTTATCAGTGATTAACTTCCTTTCTCGCTATATACGTGCCCTGTCCATGCCTATTCCTCATTCTTGATTGCGACTAAGACGCCCTTAACATGCGTCTACACAGCAGGACACAGAAGCATGAATGAGAACATTCGCACTAAAAAACGTATATGTCATTAAAATTACAAGACATCAGAATTACTGGTTAAAGCTTGACAGTATTTTTAATGCAGATTTGTGACGAGGAAAGCCAAAGAAGATTTCGAGTACCACGGCGTCAAGTTCAAAGCTGGAACTGCGTTTATGGTGTCGCAGTACCACTTGCACAGGAATTCTCAGTGTTGGACCGATCCGGACGAGTTTTACCCGGACAGGTAAGATGGAAACTGATATCCATGCTTGTGAAGGCGCTACAAGGTAAGAGAAAAAGAAAGAGAGAGATAACACGAAATGGGTTGTGTCGCCTTTTTTTTTTCTTGCCCTGCAGTGCACCACAAACACGAGGACGTACCAACTAGCTCCTATTGTCGCCTTATTGGCAACCTATACTTTGGAAAGTTGCATTGTAAAATAGTACATGCTGTTTTTGTTCCTATAATTAGCACTCGTACATTGACTTTTACTCAAATAAGGCTGGTCTAGATCAATTGCTCTCGAGAAATTCCTAGCCGTTGAGCCATTTATCACCTGATTTGGCATCTAAAATATACAAGTATTAGCCATTATTCTGCTACATAGCAGAGCTCAGCATTAACAAGTAGACTGCGTGCGGCATTGTCCTATTGACTGTGTGCTACTGAAGTTCTTTTGTTCACCCGAAGACTGCATTGAAGGAATTGCATGATGACCAACCAGCCAAAAGAGAGAAATATGTTGCAATAATTTAACGGCACATAAGAAAAAAAAAATAGGTTTGCGAGAAGCTTCCCCACAAGTGCGTCCGGGAATGGACATGACGTTGCTGCACTGCCACAGTGCACAAAAACACAGTCCACCGTTTCGTCAACTCTCCGACATGGCGCATCAAGGGTACTCGGGGTGTGGTGGATGAACAATACAGGTTCGTTAATCCAAAATTATGCACAGTGCGAAAGTGACGGCACTGCAGGCAGTAACTCCGCGAGGCCGATCGAGTACACTTGCCTGCGGTGCAACGCTACCGCAAAATGGTGGACAGTGTATTCTTTATTGTTGAGCGAGTTGTTTAACACCGAAGGGGTAGATATTAGCACCAACACAGACATGAACGACGCGAAAAAAAGAATTAGGAGAGAGCAGAAAGGTCTGGTTGTTTATTTGAAAGAACGAGCCAACATATCACAACTATCTGCGCATGCATGCATCCAATCTAGTCAGACTTGCACAGAACTGGGTTTACTCATGCACTGATGCAAAATAAATAACAACTCAAATAACAAAACCGAATACTTGTGCTCAACCACAGCCACTACGAAACCTCGAAAACCTTCGCAGAATTGGAAATCCTTGGGTTAACACACCACAGAGCCGCGCAAAACGTATGATGACCCGACTCGACCATCTTCGTATAATGAATGGTTCGCCTTATTGGCGAGGCCTATTGCGGTTTATGTTAGCTGTAAGGCACATGAAATGTACAATCTATCCCGTATTCATACGGCACTCTACACGAGTGCGATCTAACATGTGATATCATTGAGCAAGTGGCAAGGAGGAGCGTAGGCAAGCGCTAAACTCGTCTTCCAGCGCTTCGCCCGACTCAAGATTCACAAAGTGAGGAATAAAAGAGACAAAAAGCAAAAGGCAAAACAAAAAAAAAACAAATTATGAGTTCATTACAGTTTAATCATATTTCTTTATTAGCAAAAACTGCGGAAAGTCAATAAATTACGAACATCCACGTTAACTTCACTTCGTTCAAAAAGTTCTAAGGATGCCCGGCAACAGCTACGAGCGTGCATGCTCGTTGAAAGCAAAACTAGCACTGAGTTTCCGGGGCCTCCTTCGACAGGCTGTGGCTTCCAGGCGACCCGATTACACTATCGTGTTTTTTTTTTGGATGCGCAGTTCAAGCGTCCTCAAGAGTTTCCACGTACTCGACAGTTGTTTAAACGTAGAGTTGTCGATGTTCTACATATGGCGCTTGGTGATTGCAGGTTCGCACGAGAAAACGAAGCACTGCTGCGCAAGGTAGCGCATGCACCGTTCGGCATAGGACCACGAAACTGCGTTGGCTCGAGATTAGCCATGCTCAGTCTGAAATACACCTTGGCCAGAATGTTGCAGAAGTATCGCCTGGAACTAGGACCGTCTCAGATGGTGAGTGTGGTAGCGTATGTAAAACAGGACAGTTGTTGAATGGATGATTAAAGCAGAAGCCTTAGAGGAGTCATAAAACACTAAAATGAAGCGTCAGTAGCATCTCGCGGCGTCGGCGTCCACCCTAGTGATGAAAAAAAAAATCATCATGCGAAGACGTCATGATGGTTTCACGAAAAGCAAAAGAAATTCGGGACGTCATTACGACACCGTCGTGACGTCATGTGAAGTAATGTTGCACGATGACGCTCTTTTGTCAAAGGTGTGCAGATAACGGAGGCAATGTAAAAACAAAAGTGAGGCGCGGATGGGTTGTAATGTGCCTCTGATCCTAGATGTCATGCAATAACTACGTAGGTGCAGCAAGGTCTCGAATGGGGGGGAGGGGTGAGAAATAATACACTGAACGACAAAGATAAAAATTGAGAAGATGGCCTTTGCCTTCAATTCTTCTTAAAGGAAAACATGAGGAACCCTGAGACCATTGAAATTGACTGGTCGAACAGCGGTTGTAGACATCTTCTCTACAAATACTAGGTTACCAAGAAAACAGCAGTGTTTTTTTGATGAGATGAATGCAGTGTACACCGGCTGACAAATAATAATGTGGTAGGAAGAAATATTATTTTTTTGTGAGATTTTTTTCTTTTGAAAGCTGTTCTACTTTTTACAAAGCGAAAATTTCCCATTTCTTTCAGGGTTCCATGGTAATGGACACTTACAGTTTCGCCTCGATTCCTGCTAGGGGTCCATGGATAAAACTTTACCGGGTTTGAACAAAGAAAATAATGTAGTTAGTTTGCAGTTAATGACTGAAAGGAAACAAAAAAGTTGTGGCGAACGACCCCACGTTCAACATTGAGAAGATTGCGGGGCCATAATGTCCTTTCGCTGGACGTGTGCGCCTGTTGGATACTTTAAGTGTGGAAACTTGGGCAAGTTGGTAGGACATAACTTAATGTACGAACCACGATACCTAGAAGTAGCTACAGCGCAACTAAGGAAGCGAAAAAACAAGGATAGCTAAGAGTGCTGATCTATCCTAGTTTTTTTTAGCTTACGTAGTTACGATGTAACTACTTCTAGGTCTAGGCTGTTCGCTCATTCAGTTACACTCGGTATATTTAAATAACTGACATGTTTTATTTATATATCTTCCACGTTTTTATAAACCCAAAACCTGTTCAACACGTACTTTTGCACGCTGCACTGTGCAGTCTCCAGTCGAAGGCTGGAATTTCGTGGGCTTACACGTGCCTAAACTAAGATGTGATTATGAAAGACGCCGCAGCAAATGATTGAAGACCAGTACTACAGACCATCTAGTGTTCTTTCGACGTGAAAATAAATATATGTTAGCGGAATCAATATGCTCCAATATTAATAATTCATTTCTAATTAGGTTTGTGAAATGCCAGTGAAGTTTTACTTTAAGGTCTATCTTTTCCACCATGTTGTCATGGTAACCATTGTGACCAACAAACAAACGAATAGCTGTTGTAGCCATAACTAATAAAAATTCCATTTTGTGTAGTCGCTGCTGAACCCGCCACTGTGGTCTAGTGGACAAGACACTCGACAACTGACGCGCAGGTCACGGTTTCGAATATCCGCCACTAAGGTCGCATTTTCTAAGGAGGCGAAAATGATGTAGGCCCGTGTGCTCAGATTTGGGCGCACATTAAAGAACCCCATTTGGTCGAAATTTCCGGAGCTCTCCTCCACGGCGTCATTCATGACCTTATGGTGGTTTTGGAACGTTAAATTTCAACAATTATTATTATTAGTAGCAGTCGCTACTGGAATTAGAAGTAAGTTTTCGATCTAATACATGTAGTTCGAGCCAACAATCTGCTATGAACTGTTCAGCTCTTCCGCTCTATAACTTTTTTTGTGTGTGAAAGTTTGCTGAATCATAAAAATAGTCGCATCTGCGCAGGCCCTTCTGAGGATCGGCACAGTGTGCACATCGTGTGCATCAAAAACGACTCCTATTGCAAAAAAAAAAACAAAGAAAACACAAAAAAAACTTTAGTGCCTAGCTTGTGTGGAACGCACACCCCTGTCACAGCGAAGGCTGGGAGAGCAGCCTTTCAGAGCCCTTTTTTAAACACTCTTTGGGTTGCTGCTGCAGGTTTACTACGCCATAAAACACCATTACTTTTGCGTAGTAGACAGGTATTCTTGTTATTATGACGTTCTATTGTGGCTCATACTGTGGGGTATTGGCCAGGCATTCAATACGTCCATCCTTCGTCATTCTTTGGAGAAGCGTGGCACCAGCTATACATTTGCAAGGAATTTGGTGCATATTTTTATGTTGTGGCTGACGACGATGAAGAACTGCGCCTGAAGCTTTTGTAAGGAGTTGCATCATTCGACAACACACTTGTCGCGCAATTCGCACAGTGTGACGCCTGGTTGTTCCTTGCTTTTCTAGCAACTCTTTATTACTCATATTAACGCGATTCCTTTCCCGACATCAAGCCTGCCTAATGCTAGTGGTTCAATGGCAGAATACTGGGCTGACACTCAGAGACCCGGGTTCGAATCCCAGTGTGTTCTTTTATTTAGGTTTTTTTTTCTTCATTTAGCGCGATGGCGGTCACGGACGCCGGCGGCAGCGGCAGTGGCGGACAACTATACGGCTCACGCGACCCTCGTTGTGATCCTATGAGGACGCGTTCACACTGAGCATTCCGGCTGCCGAAAGTGCGCCAAATCCTATTCGGCGGCAGCGAGATCCGCCGAAAGGGCCCTCTCCGCGCTGATCTCTCTCGGACCGATTTTTTTGCGGCGTCTGCCACCGAATCGGTTGGCACGAACCAATAGGAGCGCTAGTCGAGGAATTTCGAAAAGTGACGGCCAAGCCCTGCTCACTTGTCATGTCGCAGTGCACGTATACTGAATGTTGTAACCAACGGGAGTCTAACCCATTTTGTGCCTACTTCACGTACCTATTTCATGGAATAGGTGACCGAGCTTGTCGCGGTCTTGCAGAGCAAGACGAACCCACCAACGCTGCTGGCGTCGGCGTTTTTTTTTTCTGCTCTTCATGCATTAGAAGACAGCGATTTGCCAGCAAAGTAAGCAGTACTACTCCTTCGTGCTTCCTGCGTACGAGAATCATCGAAGTCTTAGACCATCGGATAGCGTAGCGGCGTTTGCGAGCCGCACAACAACAGGGTGACATCCCACCCATCCCGCGTTCACCCCATGGAAGATAGCATATTCGGCGGCGCGGGGCACGTATAATGCGAACGACACTCCGTTTCGGTGGCAGGAGATTTTCTCTGGCTGTAGAAAACGGATGCTTCAGTGTGAACTAGGGATACGAGATTTCGCAGTAAATTGAGAGTCCCCAGCGCGATATCAGTACGTATTTTGCCACTGGCACAAGCTGGAATTTGCTGGCACTTCGTTGAACGCACTGGGAAATAGCTGGATCGCACTGGTAGGGGTGATATATATAAATATACTTGGCAGCAGTGGCGCACTCTGGGAAGTGCTCGAATTTTAACCGGAGTACACAAGTGCGTACTGGAGCATGCACTGTTTTTGCCCACGTACACGTTTATGTAGTGCGTGTGGCGCACTATTTCGGTATCGTGAAATAAATCCATGACACGATGGCATACGATTATATATGCTACTCTAACAGGTCCCGAGCATGCCTCACAATTTCTCGCTTGGCAGAGAAAGAGAATACGCGCAAGACATTCAACATGTGTGTGATTTGCGAAATATCTGTCATTTTTATTCTTTTCGAATGTGGAGAAAACTGTGTTAATAACAGAAAGCAACTAACACTAAGTTGCCTTCTAGGAAGCATTAAAAAAAGCATTTAAAAAACAACAACAAATTGGCCTCGTTGAATCATATTCATGTTGCAGTTTTTGAGCTTAATTGTGTTACTCATTTTTCGTACCTTTGTGCTTGTACAAAAATTCCCGAATATCCACGAAGTGAATGATGACGAAGGAGATTGCTTTAGAGGTTACATTTAGTAAACCGTGAATCCTCTGTACATATGCTCAATCATCATCATCATCATCATCATCATACAAAGACGTGACACGAGAGTTGTTGTGGTGTGACTGTGTTTACAGGTTATATACACAATGTTTATTATTTACATATAATTGTACTATATACAGATATTTACATACCGATGCAGTATACATATTTTGTTCAAGAGCTTATTCACGGATCACATAACCTCGGAGGAACGTTTCCATTTTAGTATAATGGCTTCGTGATCCGTAAAGTACAAAGTCAGAGGATCTTGAATTGTAGGATGTAGTGGAAAGTTCGAGAATGGCCCTGACGGCGAGCCCGCGTAACAGCCGCCTTACGAGCCCTCCGCGCCGCCACCTTGGCTTCAGCGGTGTTCATAGTGGGTAGAGGTATCGACGCCCACTGAGTGATGTCCGGCGAAAAAGAAAGGAAGCGCAGCGAGAGCAAGTGCTTTATTAGGGCGCGGCCACCTAGCGGTCTCCTTTCAAACTAGAGCACTCGCCGAAGAGCACAGCTGCGTCTCTAACGGGAGAAACGAGTACTAGTGTACACATCAGTGCAACGACGAGAAACAATGCCTCCCCCCCCCCCCCCTCTGCAAGATGAGCATGCTCCTAAATATTCAAGAATTTTTTTTATGATTCACGCAGTGTCATTAACAGCGGTAATTCTTGCGGTGCATCGTGTTGCAGTAATGAATGCACGTTGTATGCCCCAAGCCTATACCAATTTCATATCAGCGATGTATTTTCGTAAAGATTCTATGCTGCAGTGTTCATAAGCCTGCAGGTGCTACTCCCAACAAAAACAGCAAATCATTACATCACCGCAATGTTGAGGAGATTGATTGATTTATATGCGGGGTTTAACGTCCCAAAACCACCATATGATTATGAAAGACGCCGTAGTGGAGGGCTCCGGAAATTTTGACCACCTGGGGTTCTTTAACGTGCACCCAAATCTGAGCACACGGGCCTACAACATTTCCGCCTCCATCGGAAATGCAGCCGCCGCAGCCGGGATTTGAACCCGCGACCTGCGGGTCAGCAGCCGAGTACCTTAGCCACTAGACCAACGCGGCGGGGCAATGTTGAGGAGACTTAAATGAGCTCTGGCTTCGCAACATAGTCCCAGCGGAGGCCAAAAAAACAGCCGTCGTTTGCTATCGTCACGCCGGGAACTCATGTCTGGCAACGCTTGTCCTTCCAATTATTTTAGGTACAGTTTAGGTAACAGTTAGAAATGTTCCGAACCTCAAATGTAGAAACTTCAACCATAGCAACTCGGCTGCGTCAAGATTGGCCTACCCAGTGTTCCAGCGAGCGTTTGGCTGCGTGCCGGCTGTGTGCGTGATCACGTTACATGGTACTTCTGGCTTTAAGTACACACAGTTTTAAAGCGTGAGATTGACTGTAAAGCATAGTTTAAACATTCGACAACCTAAATGAACAATTTTTTTTTCTTGTGTATGGTGCTCGAACCAAGCGCGAATGACCATTGATGCGACGCATTTTCAGCAATGCACCAGGCTGCCACCGAAAGCTGCTGGCCTTACTAGCTGGTATTTTTCTGACTCAATATGTCAGAACAACTAATTCACATTCGGTAATTTGAAACGTCTTGATGACCGAATACACAAGCATACTTTTTTCAGTGGATGCTATTGGTATTTCGTTGGGCGGTTTCTTTAGTTGTAGGAATTGATGGAACTCCGACCTTTACACTGGCCTGTCCACCCAACTGGCATATCATCGCTTGCGAGAGAACATTACTCCATATTCAATCATGCACACATGTACTGATCGAACTATGCATCATAAAACCTTTTTAGATAGTGACTAGTAGCGAAAGCTTGTAACAGCTTGAAAAAAAAAGAAAAAGACAGTAGCAGCCGAAAAACTGTGGGGCTGCTCCTATACGTCCATTTGATATTTTTCAGAGCCAAGATGTGAATTATTAAAAAAAAAAAACATTGCACTCCTGCCAATATTTACATATCGTTTGGCGCCACTTGCTGCTTGTTTTTGGTCTAATAAAGATGCATTCGTTATTTAGAAATAAAGATTGTGTTTATCTTGATTGTGCGACTTGTAAACATGAAGCATAGCGAAGTGTTCGTTGGATAAATATTCTTTTTACGAGCAACTAGCATGTTCAGGTGTGGTGTAGTAGGTAGAGTACTCGGTTGCATAGAGTTTCCTATAAGTGCACTAGAGCGAACTATGGCACTGGTGCCTATGGGAGCTTTCGATGCATGGCGCTTAATCGAGCATGGAAATGATGGATATAGTACAAGAATTTGTCTAATCTTCATACTACCGGCTCCGCTTTGATTTGCATGGCTTAGAGCT